TTAAAATGAAAGCGGTAATAATATATTAAGATTAAAAATAAATCAAATATATAATTCTTAATAATAATTAATATACACTGATTAAAATAATATAAAAATATATCATTCTTAATATATGTTTGGAAATCAGAGTTTAATTTGTCTTGTTGTTGTGAAATCATGTTTAATTTTGTATAGATTTCATATTCATCTTCAATAAATGTTACAGATGGTAATTTATTTTAGTTTTGGCGATGCCCAATCAATGTGTGCAGCGCTGAAGTGGTGTAGAAGAAGAAAGAATATAAGAAAAGGATCCCAGGCATTCCCGGAACACATTTTAATCTCAGCGATAAAAGAGGGGGGAGGAGAGTGGTTTGAAATATTTTGCTAAACTCACAATTTTGTCAAATTTAAATTTTCTTAAACTTTTTTTATTTTAATACTTAAAAAGTCTCCAAATTTATGTTGAAATGTAGCATTTCAACCTACATTTATGTATGGCATTGAAATTCTCAAATATCAAGTTATCCTCAAAAAAATTACCCATAACCATGTAGGATAATAATTATTAACTTTACTTAAATACAACTTAACGGTTTAAATTTTTTTGTTTTTTTAGTTCCTTTCCGATGGTACAGGTGACTAAAATACAGGATTTTTTTTGTTTTACATTTTCTTAATCTTTTAACTCTGAAACACACACCTGGATTAACTATAGTCATAAAATACATAGTCTGGCCAGTTAAAGAGTGCTTTTGTTTATCTTACTATTAGCTTTTTTTTAGAACCCAGTCTACCAATGAGTACACACTTTTTGTAAACAAAGACACGTTAGAAATAATACTTACAAAAAAATTATTTATTTAACCTTGTTAGTTGCAAATGCCTGGTGCTAATTGTTCCATTTTTGGCTGTGGTACTTCTCGAAAAAATAAAGGTGTTTCACTTTTTAAAATACTTTTGATTTCAACAAAGAAATTATTTGTAAAGAATGCTAATGTCTTCAGTCTCAAAATAAAATATCTGTTAAAAAAATAGTGATAAATTACTTATTCCAGCTAAACTTAGAGCTCCAATTTTTAAAACTGCACCAGAACGTGTAAAATTAACCCTACAAAGCTATCGTTTAGAAAATAAATTGCTCAAAGATAACATAAAAAGATGCAACAGTAATTGAATAATCATCACATCTTGTCAGTGATGATCTACACAAAGATTTAGTTTTAATCATATCAAAAAATAATAGTACAGTCACTTCATTTATGAAGTTATTTTGGGATGAACAACAAAAATATTTAAATACTTCAAAACAGGGAATTTGTTATCATCCATCTATTGTTTAGTTCTTGCTTCAAAGTCGCCTGCTGCTTATGAGGAAATTCCTTTCAATGAAAAAACCAATTCTGGATTTGTCATTTTACCAAGTCAAAGGCATTTGAGAGATTACAAAAACTATATCAAACCACAAAGAGGTTTTAACCATGAAATTGTCAATGAACTGAGTTTAAAGGTAAAAGATTTTTCTGATCAAGAACGGTTTGTTACACTTTTATTAGATGAAATGAAAATTCAAGAAAATTTGGTATGAGATAAATATTCTGGTGATCTTATAGGATTTGTTGACCTTGGTGATACTAATATTAACCATGCAACTTTGAATAAGGCTGATGAAATTGTAACACATGTTTTTGTTTTTCTTGTTAGAGGTATTGTAAACCCTTTCATATATAGTTTTTCAAACTTTGCTACAACAAATATTCAAGCTATTCAGTTATTACCTTTAATTTGGAAAGCTGTCAGTATTTTAGAACTTTCATGCAATCTAAAAGTAATTGCTACTACAAGCGATGGTGCCTTGTGTAATCGTAAATTTTTGTGCGATGGTGCCTTGTGTAATCGTAAAAATGTTAGATTTACTTATCGCATTAAAAGTAAATTTGCAAATGATGATCAATATATATATTTCATAGCTGATACTCCACATTTGATAAAAACTGCTCGATATTGCCTTTTTCATTCTGCTTCAAAATGAATGTAAGATTACCAGCTCAAGTACTCAGTTCATCTGTTAGGATTGCTTTGAAGGCATTTGGCCCAGCTGAATCCTCTAGAACTGCTGAGTATTGTCGAATGTTCAATAATTTTTTTGATTGTGTTAATGTGAAAAATATTGTAGATTGCACTAGAAAGCAAAATCCCTTTTCTGAGCCATTTTATTTGATAAATGATGAAAGACTAGCATGGTTGACTGAAGTTTTTTAAAAATATTTTGAAGATTGGAAATTGTCTAAAGATCAAAGACCTGCAAATTTCACTAAGGCTGATCGAGGGAATATGTTTTTATCTTGGCAAACATATGAAGGTATCAATATCACTGTCCATTCAGTTGTTGATTTAGTTAAATACCTATTAAATATTGGTGTTCAATATGTTTTAACTGAACGGCTTTGTCAAGATTCGTTAGAAAACTATTTTGGCCAACAGCGAGCCATAGGAAGAAAAGATAACCATCTTTACATGATATTGGTTATAATGACAATACAATAAGAAACCAATGTACATTCAAAATAATAGTAGGAACTAATAGTCTTGATAATGATCCTGAACCAAAGGTTTTTACCAAAGAAAAATTACCACGCAGAAATTGGAACAAAAAATAAACTCATCAAAAAAATGAAATTAAAAACGGCTATTTTCATAGCCACAAACATTATAAAAGCTTTATTTGGTATAAAATAATTTATTTTAATTGTTGTTGTTTTTTACAGGGTGTTGGTAGGGAGGGATCTCTCATAAATAAATAAATATATATATATGTATTATATATTTATATGTATTATATACTTATATGTACTATATATTTATATATATATATATATATATATATATATATATATATATATATATATATATATATATATACACTTATTTTTATTTTAAATTATTTAAATAAAACATTTGCACAACTATTTAAGTTTTAGTTGATTAAACCAAGTAATAATGATTACATTATTTGATATTATTACTTAAAATAAAAACTTACATAACTTCATTTGGTTTTCATTTATTGCATCTCTCCATTGTGCTGCAATATAGTTCGTATGCTAGATATGTTTTTAATAAAATTTGTGGCTATGAAAATAACCTTTTTTAAATGTCTTATCTTTATTCAGTAGAGTTTATAGTTACTTTTTTAATTTCTTTTCTTAAGGAATTTGTTTTTCTCTTCTTAGACTTGATTTTATGCAAGTTTACAAGTTCCTTGGAATAGGAAAACAAGCAAACACCAAAATAAAGAGTTCAAAGGTGGTCTAGAAGATTGAGAGACATTTCTGTAGATACCTTAATAGAACAAGCATAAATAATTTTTGAAAAGTAAAATAAAACCTCAACATCTTGAAACAATTCTGTTGTCAACTTGCTGCAGACGATATTTTTACTCATAGTTTTTGTTGAATTTCTGGATACTAATTCTGCTATTCTAAATAGTGAAAAAGCGTCAGATGATACAGACCAAAGACCACCTTGATTTTTTAAATTAATAAATTTTCTATTAGTTTCATGATACTCTTCAAATTCATTTTCAACAATTTCCAGCCAACAAAATTAAAAGTGTTTCTTGACTAAATCTACTTTGCGAAATTTTTGAATAATGTATCCTTCGATAAAAGGTACTAAATACATACCCTCCCAAATATTCAATTAAAGTTTTTTCTTTTTCAGTAAACTGTCAAAAACTAAATTTGAGGCTGCGTTTTTAGACTTCGTTAAGTGAGCCAAAATATGAGTAGCAAGGTTATATTCAACAAGAGTTGGGGTTTTATCTGTAAAATTTTTCAAAAACTGCTTTCTGACCAGCAACTTTGTAAAACTTTGGATAAAAAACTTCCATGTGACCATTAAAATCTTTAATAACATCTTTTAATAACTCGAATGAATACTTTACATCATCATCTGAAAATATGTATTTTGAAAGTTCATTTCTAATACGTGGAGGGTAGCAAAGATCGTTTTTGAGAATGTTAATGCTTTTTATAACAAAAGTTTTGAACTCATCTACAGAACACGTTTGTGTAACATTAGTTGTTGGATTTATTGGCTGTGTTAGAGATTCACTATTTGAGTGTTGAGTTGTAATGTGACACTTGAGCCCTTTCTCTGACTTATGGTTTTTAACACACTGCTGGCAATTAAAACTGATTAAAGAATTTCCATTCTCAATTTCACTAAGAAGAGCATCAACATCACTAAGAAACTTATCATTTTTGAAAAATATATCTGACTCTAAATCTAATATGAAATGATCAATAGATTGTTCGTCTGCTGATTTCGTCATTTTCTCAGATTTTTGTGCACTTATTAGTAGTCTGGGCGCAATAAATAAACAGTTTCCAACATAAATTCAAAATTTTAACTTTAATTACTTAAAAACAATAGAATCTTGCGAAATCGGCCCAACTGGCCAGACTATCTGTTATTATCAGGGGTGTGGAGTCGTAAAAAAAAGTATCGACTCCGACTCTAGTTGTTGGAATTTTTTGAGTACAACTCCGACTCCAGTTGTTAAAATTTTTTGAGTGCAACTCCGACTCTGACTACAACTCCAAAGCAAAACTTTTGAAAAACTCTTTGATTTCTTAAAAAGATATTATGCAATATGTTAAAGAGTTTTTTTTGACAAATTTATGAAACATTCTTTGAGGTTTATTATGAACATAAGGTTGATTGAACGTTTTGTACATGCACATGCAATACCGAGAAGTTTTACTATAGGAGTCGGAGTCGCAATTTTGTTTAGCGACTCCGACCCCGCTAAAAATGTAGTAACTCCGCAACTCCGACTCCACAACCCAAGTTATTATGAGTATGAATTAACAAGGCATTTAAAGAAACAAGTTGTGTTATTATATTTAGACTTTCTATTCACCCTAATTTTGGTCTAAAAAATGCTAACCATTCCCAAAAAACAGTTTGCATATAGAGATAATGATAAACATTACATTTTAAGTAAATATATATCAAAATTTACCTGTTAAAAGTCCTCCTAAAAATGTTGCATATAGTGGTATATTTGTCTTTTCATTGACTATGCTGAATATTGTAAATATTAATCCATCCTGAGCCATTGAATAAAGGAATCGAGGCATCATCATCATGGAAGAAATAGCATTACCCAAAAGGCCAAAGATGGCTCCAATACCAATAATGTATTTAGCTGCTGGAAGATTAACCTAAATAGAAAATAATTTTAAAAACATATACAATACTTGTTTATAAACAAAGCATCTGAAAATAAACATATAAGGTAATAAAAATGTGTTTATTGTGTGTGCATTCCTATGATTTTTAAAGTCAAACAATCTAATAAAAATGATAATTAAAACTTATAAATAGTTTACAACAACCTTTAAAAAATATTAAATCTAGTCAATTAAAAACTACCTACTAAAGATTACCTTAATGGAATTGTATGAAACTGGTTACAAACAACATACTTAAACACATAATTTGTAATGTTAAAAAATATAAAAAATTGGTGCAGGCGTAATGCTACCAAAGTAAAGTTAAGTTATCAAGCTGTAAGTTAAATTAAATTAGGAGTGGTGTGACAACTATGAAAAATAGGATCCAGTGTGACAACTATTATCAAATCTAACAAATGTATTCCATACAAAGATTTATAGATAAAGAGAATGGATATTATTAGGTTCTTGTAAATGTAAATTTATTATGAAAAGTTTGTTATGTTTTCAATTATTATTTTAATATTAATTTTAGTTCAATATTATTTAGCAGGGCTGTGGAGTCAGAGTCGGATTTGAGACATTTTCAGCGACGTCGGAGTCGCTAAACAAAATCGCGACTCCAATTCCAATAGTAAAACTTCTCGGTATTGCATGCACATGTACAAAACATTCAATTAACCTTATGTTCACAATAAACCTCAAAGAAAATTTTTCAAAAATATTGCTTCGGAATTGGAATCGGAGTTGAAGTTAGAGTCCGAGTCAAGCTCAAAAAATTTCAACAACTGGAGTCGGAGTTGGAGTTGTTACTTTTTTTTTACGACTCCACACCCCTGTTAATTAGTAAAATAATATATATACATATATATATATATATATATATATATATATATATATATAATATATATATATATATATATATATATATATATATATATATATATATATATATATATATATATATATATATGTGTGTGTGTGTGTGTGTGTATATATATAATTTAAATTATTTCTGAAACTTGTTTTTGAATAATTATTGTTTATAAATCGTTATTGAATAAAAAATAATGATTATTTTATTTTAAAAATTTCTTGAGTAAACAAAAAATATTAACAATGGTAAACAAAAAAGCTTATTAATTATTTAAACAGTGATTTTGTTTTGATTAGCAAAGAATATTTTAGGTTTTTAAATATTTTTTAAATTTATGTTGCTTAGCGTTTTTAACTTGCATTATATAAAAATATAAAAAAGTTGCACGTTTGCTTTGAGAATATTTTTGATACGTAGTATAGAACGCGTTCGCCAGGAATTTAATTTTTAAAATTTTTTACATTATCGTAAAAATGTTTTACATTTTAAACAAATCACAAAGAAACAGAGCTATAGAGAAAAATCGTTTTTAACGATTAAATCTTTTTTTTTTGAATTTTAGGAAATTAAAAAAAAAAAATTAAATTAAATATAAAAGTCTTAATTATGCAAACTCTTTTGTTAATTATTCTTAAAATAAAAAACAAGTACTTCTACGCAAAACTATAATCGTGCAAACTTAAAAAAATACACAACTAAAATAATATAAGTATATTTAATAATTTGAATCGTATCTGTTTATAATAAACGTTCATTAAAATTTGTTCATTAAAAATTGAGTTCTTTAACTTATAAACAAACTCAAAAGTATTTTCATTCTATGTGTAATTACAAAACTCTTTTTTTTTTTCGTTTGTAAGCAATTTAACTTGGAATAATAAAATAAAAAAAGAATAAAGATGAGGTAATCTTTGATAAGAACAAATTTAATTTATTTATTGAGCTATATTTTTATTTTTATTTGTATACCAACTGAAATAAAATATAGTAACATGTTAAAATATTTCAACATGACTTGTGTCATTTATAAATCATAGGGCAGCTGCCCTTACAGTACCATTGGTTTTAGATAATATTTTATTTTGATGAAGATCGCATAACTTACATTTGATTTTAATAACGTAAGTAGTGCGGTAGTGGTGTAGTGGTAAGTGCGCTCGCTTTGTAAGCGAGAGGTTCGATGTTCAACTCCCACCATGTCCCTAGAAGTACCACGCTCAACTTAATTTCTCCGCGCAGCGGCCTTGCTTGTCAAGGTTCGTGTTTCGGAGTTAAAGAGTTGAGAGAGGGTTGTACCACAATTTATAACAAAAAAAAAAAAAAAAAAAAAAAAAAAAAAAAAATGAGTAGCCTCCTTGACTGTAGTGGCCCCCACAGACCTTGGTGAGGTGAATAATTAAGAAGAAAAGTCTTCTCTTTTTCTGTGATTAGAAAAGTTTCAATTAGAAAAGCATCGGCAACGTCCCAGGATTTAAAAGTTTTCAAAGTAAATCTTTTGTCCTTCAAAATACAATCCATATTTGAACTTTAAACAATGTAGAGAGAATAGAAATATACTAGTTTGTCTTATTTTATACAGAAAAATACATAGTCATTAGTAAAAAAGAGAGACTGTCATTAAACTAAAAAGTGCCTTAGTATTTATTTAATGAAGTCTGAATTGTGCACGTGCATAATAAAACCTCCATTATATAAATGTATTCAACGTAATATTAGTGTCATCAGCGGATGTTATAGTCTACTCGTGATTTCTTTACCATATTTTATAATTTGATTTATGAAAAAAAAAACTTATTGAATTGCACGCAGAAGAAATTTAACATATTGTCTTCATTCAAAAATTACGAGTAACAGGTAATTTTTTTTTTCTGTGCTGGCCCCCTCCCTCCTCATAACTTAAAGGTAAAAGTACCTGTAACTAATAAGAAAAGCAAAGAGTAATAATTAATGAAGTAATTTTTAGTACAATACAAACAGACGGTTCATTCATTGGCACATTTTTTGAGATATTAAAAAAAATGTCAACCCTTAATTAGAAATTTTTTGCAAATGTTTTTTAATATGAATTTAGTAAAAAACTCTTAAAAAATCTATACTATAAAAAACATTTATATTCTGAATCAATAAATTTGGAATATAGATTTTTTAAAACTTTAAAAAATTACTACTTTTTATTAAAAAACATTTGCAAAAAATTTGTAGTTAAGGATTGACAAACAATTTTTCATGTAACTAAATATTTGAATAAAAAGTTTAGCGTAAAACTAAATGTTATAAAAAGGTAAGGTATATCGCAATGAAAAGTTACTACAATTATTTTTAATGTAACTTTTTTGTAATAAATATTTTTACATATCGTTATTCAAAAGTTAATGTGGTTTTTTAAAAATTAATTACTTCTTTTATGTTACCGCTGATTTAAAAGTTAAAAAATGATAAAAAGTAGCTTAACCAAAACAGCTCTATGCATACGTAAAAATTGCTTAAGGCGTACATAAACCGCTCTAGGCGTAACGCTTTAAAACAAGGCCTGTATATATATATATATATATATATATATATATATATATATATATATATATATATATATATATATATATATATATATATATACATATATACATACAGGCTTTCACAGGAAGACGTGCAATTTCATGTCTTTATATGACCACGCAAAAAAAAAAGTTTAACGATTTGACCATGGCATATATTTAAAATTTAAAAACGCGCTACAATAACTTACCTAAACGTATCTAAAAAAAAAATTCAAAAAAATAATAAATATTAACGAAAAAGAAAATAAAAAAAAAATACTTAGTTAAAGCAAAAACACAAAAAAATAAATATATATATAACGCAACTAAAACAAAACTCATCAAACTAAAATGCTTAGTCTATATAATTTACGCATTAAAAAACCTTTTCAATCTTTGTTTCAACATTTTTATATATTTTTTATTTGTTTAATATGTTTAAAAGTTAAATGTTTTTCATACAAAATACATAGTTATAAAAATAAAATAAAAAAATATTTTATAAATACTTTTTTTTTAAATTAAGTAGAAGTGTTTTTTTTTACTTTGATAAAAGCGTTTCGATAATATAAAAGCATATAAGATCAAACTTATTAAATTTTAACGGTTTTCTAAAACTTTTTTTTTAACGAAATTTTGTTTATCTTTTTAAATGCATTAACTTTAATCATTCTTATATTTAAATTCGTTAAGAGACTTGGGTAGTTGTAGAATGTCATCGTTTATAAAAACAAAACAATTTTTTATATTTTAAAAAGATTTATTTTAGAAATGAACACTTAAACAATTTATGTTTTAAATTAAAAAAATATATACAACTGTCAATTATATTTAAAAAACAAAACTTTTTTTTAGTAAATTGTTACTTTATTTGAAATCGTTTCGCTAATATAAAAACAATTGTTAAGAAGTTTTGATGTAATTAATTTCACTTTTTTAGAATATTTTTTATTAAGTGCGTTTCTAAAATGTTTTTTGAATTGGCCGCAGTCAAACCATCATAGCAAAATGTAACTTGTGTGGTCATATAAATACATGAAATCGCACGTCTTCCTGTGAAAGCCTGATATACATATACATATATATATATATATATATATATATATATATATATATATATATATATATATATATATATATATATATATATATATATATATATATATATATATATATATATATATAAATATATATACTATAGCATATTTAAATGTGCAATTGCTCACATTTTTTACTCATCTAAATCAATATAGATTTTTGAGAAAAAGAAGAAAACGAAGAATAGTAAATGGAAAGGTTGCTGACCTATCCTAAACCCTTAGACCATGTAGCAGCACTCCGCTGCGAGTCAGGCTATTTGTCAGTCGATGTATGTACTGAAGCCCCCGGCAGCAGGCTATTTCAGTATGACGTCATCATGCTCACCTAACTCAGCAGTATAAGATATATACATATATATATCTATATATATATATATCTATATATATATATATCTATATATATATATATCTATATAAATATATATATATATATACATATATATATATATATATATATATATATATATATATATATAT